AAAGAGCCTTCGGTTTTCAGGCGTGGCGTGCAGACACGCACCTAGCTGTACCATGCAGAAATACGGAAAACTGCACGTTACAAAGAAAAACGCCTGAACGTGACGCTCTGACGCATATAATTTATGAGGTAATGAACAGCGCAGTGTGACGGACCACGGGTCGGTTTGGCTCGCGCTGCGGAGGCCTGTAGTCGCTCCTCACAGTAACGTACATTGTGGAACGTTGTGCAACATCAGTAATGGAAGTTTTGGAAGTCGACAATAATAAAGTCATTATAATAATTTAAACGTTTTGGGAGGATGTTTTAGCTATGTACTCAAAGATTTCTTTCATATCGTGTTTTCGTGTGGACGGATTGAATTGTTGCAGGGGGACACACGGGGATAGGACTTTTTGTTCCGACCCAAGACCCCTTTCAAATTTCCAAAGGTTACATCTTCTCTTTTTGTCTCTTCTTTTTTTTTTTTTTTTTTATTCAGGCTGTCTTAGCTCTGTTGCTGAGCCTGTTTGCCATGACGAAAATCATCTGTTCAGGCTTTTTTGTTGTTGTTTGTTTGTCTCCTTGACAGTTTTTGGTCTGAGGAAAAAAAGTATATTGCATCTGAAGACTGCATAGTTTCTTCATTAGCCTTCGGTGGGGGACTTCACTCTAGGCATCTCAGAAGTCTTAATGAATTATGTGAACTAGTTCTTTTATGTTACGAAGACGTTCCAAGGCTCTTAAGAAGATAATGAATTTCGTTTGTGAAAACCGTGCTCGTTAGACCTTATCAGATCATGGCAATCCAGATTTCCTAGTGTTCTGTTTTCAATTATTGATGCAACAAATTTGCCAGGAAGGCCTAGTAGAAGTGTCTCTACCTTTCAGTTTGCTAGAATACTTCCAGTGTTCGGCGACACATTCTGATTTTTTTTCTTAGCCACTCGGCTATGACATGCTTGAACTTTGGAAGTACTGATTGAATATTTCACGCATTCTAAATTATTCAGGGTTTCAGCATGATTTTCTCTGATACTGAATTTTTGCTCTGAAAATGAACAAAAGGTTGAGTTAGGAGTTTGTGCATCGTTAAGAAGGCAAAGGTGTTTATTTCTTATTTAGATCTTTATCTTTTTTAATGCCTCTCTTTAATCCCAAAGTATTTGCTGGGTTTAGTGATCCATTTAGGTGTTTTTAAAGGCTTCCTGCATCTTGTACATCCAGGAAATTCCTGTTGGTTGTTTTACCTTAAAAAAAAGATTTCCCTTTGAGTGCCATTTTGACCCTTCTTGTTTTTTCCCTCTTAATTGCTGTTGGTTTTTGTGTATCTCTTTACAGATTTAACTAGGATTAAATTTCTGAATTTGTATGTGTTTCTGTCTGACCCAACAGTTTCTGAAACTTTAAAATCTT